ACAGAAGTAGATTGCCCCATCTTCCTTCCGAGTAGAGTCTGGAAAGGAGGTTAAAAGAACTAGGAGATGGTTCTGAAGGTTTGAGGATGGGGGAAAGAATGGCAGAGCCCTGCTTTAAAGATAGTGTGTGATGTGCTAATACACTGGTTCTCAAACATGCTGGCTTCAGAACCTTGTTACACTCTTAAAAGTTATTGACACAACCCCAAAGAACTTTTGTGTCTGTGGACTATATCTATTTCTATTTACCACATTAAAAATTAAAAGTGAGAAATTTTTAAAACATATGAATGCATAACCACATATTCCACCAGAACCATGACATCATCACATGCCATGCAGCCTCTGAAAAACCCCACTGCACACTTAGGAGAGACTGACAGTTAAAAGGCAAAGAACATCTTAGTATTGTTATAAAGAAGTTTGACCTGTGGAACTCCTGCAAGGGTCCTGTTGTTGTTCTTGTTACATGCCGTCGAGTCAGACCCAACTCATAGCAATCCCTCCTTGTGTTTCCGAGGCAGTATCACTACGGAAGTAGATTGCCAGACCTTCCTTCTGAGGAGTGGCTGGTGGGTTTGAACCTCTAGCCTTCTGGTTAGCAGTCAACTGCCTTAGGCACTATGCTACCAGAGCTCCTTCTCTAAAGGTTGTTGTTGTTGTTGTGTGCAGTTGAGTAGGACCCAACTCATAGCAACCCCTTCTTGGGTTTCCAAGGCAGTATCACTATGGAAGTAGATTGCCCCATCTTCCTTCCGAAGAGTGGCTGGTGGGTTTGAACCTCCAGCCTTCTGGTTAGCAGTCAAGTGCCTTAGGCACTACGCTACCAGAGCTCCTGAAAGGGTCCTAAAGAACCATAAATGGTCCCAGACCATACTTGAGAACCACTGTGTCATCCACGTGGCTGTCCAACAGATACCTAAAAATGTGGAACTTAAATAAAGGGAAAAGTTTAAGGCTAGAGATATGGACTTGTGGGTAACAAACAAGAAAAATAATAGCTGAAGCTGAGAGTTTAGAAGATATGGGAAAAGACAGAAAAACAAAAGAACAACTTTGGGGAACAACAAAACAACATTTAGTAAGACAATATTAAGAATAGGAGCAAGTCAATGATACAGAAAATGGCCACCCAAAATTTTGAATATGAGTCAAAGGTATTCAGGATCAGTGACAGCAAACAGAAAATGTGGTAAAGACTGTCTCCTGCTAAAGAGAGGTTAGAGGACCTAAGGGCTGAGAGATAACTAAAAGTTCTGACTATCTCTTCATTTCTGTGTCTAATATAGCTAGTTTGGAATATTAAAGTTTTCTCTTCATCCTGATGAGCAATGTGTTATGGTTTAACTATAATGTGTCCAAGAGCTCTGGTGGAGTAGTGCCTAAGGCATTTGACTGCTAACCAGAAGGCTGGCAGTTCAAACCCACCAGCCACTCCTTGGAAGGAAGATTGAGTAATCTACTTCTGTAGAGATACCATCTTGGACAGCCAAGGAGGGGTCGCTATGAGTCAAATTCAATTAAATGGCAGTGAGTTTGAGTTGTTTTTTTTTTTTTTTTTAATAATGTGTCCAGGTGAGGATTTACCTTTCTCCTGTTTGGGACTCCAAATATACTTGAGATCTCAACACATATGTCTTCCTTTAACGTTGAGAAGTAACTGTCTTCAACAATGACTTATCTGTCATTCCTTCCAGACTTTCCTTGCTGGAACCTCCATGAAACTCATACCAGAGCCTCTGTATACTAGTAGGCAAGATCCAGTCCATGAGCCACTAGTCTGTAACCTCTGTGTCAAGGAATGAGGGCTGCAGCACTGCACACTATGGTCTATGTACATGGCTTCCAGAGAAAATCTTGAGCAGAATTTGATGTGCAAGTTATTTAATACAGCAGTCATGGTATAAAGGAAGTGGATTCAGTGAAAAGATTGACTTTTCAAGAAATGTAGTAGTGAAGGTAAGAGAAAGGCTTAAAAGGGTAGCTGGGTCAAGGGAAGAACATTTTATGATGAGGGGAAGAAGAAAGGGAGCCACTGACACTGTAAGAAAAAGCTCACGAGGAAAGGTCAATAATGGTGAGGAGAAATATTTCTTCTGAAAAAAAGAAAAGTTGCATAATAATCCAAATGTTTCAAACAGCAAACAAGAGAAAATAAGAGAGCTCCCACAAGGAAGACTTTTGCCTGTAAAAAAGGAAGAAATGATGTAACTTGGTGAGAATGGCGGGGGGGGTGGGTGTGAGAAGTGTAGACAGTTTGAACAGCAGCTGTGGATTCTGCAATACTGAGTCAACAAGAGAGAAAAAGAATGCATAGCAATGGTGGAATCTTGCTCAGATTCAACAGCAAAAATTTGTAGTCGACCCCAGCATACTTTGCAACTTCAGCCAACAATTATTGGCAATTCAGCACTTTAAACAACTGCATGCACATGCGCGGTGAAGTGCAGAAAAAGTTCCAGGGAGGAGAGATTGAGATCTAAAAAGAATTCCTTTCTACGGAAAGACTGGCAATCACGGGGAGATTTTAGGTGAATATGTGTTCTAGTCACCAAGTTCTATAAACAGATAAGTGGTCACCGGATTTTTTCCTTTAGAGAGCAGTACAATCAACTCTGTTCCAATCCATCAAGAACTAGATTAAGAAAGGCCATACTTTAGATGAGAGATCAGCAAACAGAACATGACACCACTGCCATCAACTTTCAGAACAAACAGAACATCTCTAAGGCAAACATCTGACTGAATTCAACAAGTCAAAATGGGATCACTAGCTAAAAATCCACCTACTTCCTTTAATACATTTATTAATATTACATACAGAATGTTTTCATCCACACTGTAACATGTTGAAGAATCAAAGAGGGTGCCATAAATAATTAAGCAGAAATAACAAGCCTATGCTGGGACTATATAGGCAAAATGGAGCACAGTGCTCACCCTCCTTTATATGACCCACAGAGCATTGTAAACAGCAGCTCAGAAACACAGGGAACACACTGTTGCTCTGTATGGTTGGTTGGTCCTGGGAATAAAGGGTGACCAGAAAACTGTGAGCAACCAGGACAGAAAGCCATTTGGAAGATGCTCTCAGTCACATCTTCAAAGGATGTGGCAGCTAAACTATATTAGCATGAGGCCAGCTTAGAACACACATGAAGAAGAGGTAATTCTAAAGGGAAGATGTGCTGCAATGACGAATCCAAGAAAACGCAAACCAGAGCAGGCTCTGTAGATAACTGGCACCAAAACTATTTTTTTTTAACATGCAAGATTTATAAAAGACTGCTACTGGGATCATGAAATAAAACATCTTTTGATCCAAATAAGCACTTACCAATAAAACTGAATGCTAAATAAAAGATCTTTTGAGGAGTCTGAGCTTTCTAGAAGCTTTTCAGGACAGCACATAAAAGGAAATGCTTCCTGAGGAAAAATGGTAATAATGTGTGAAAATTGCTGGAAAAGAAGAGTATTTATGAATAATGAGAACACTCCTCAAATATTTAACATTAGCAAGAAGAAATAATAATGATCAATAAACAATCTAGACTTTTATATCATGTTTACTGAAGCATTACTCACAGTAGCCAAAAGACAGAAACAACAGATAATCAGATATGGCATATACATACAAAGGAATATTACTCAGCTATAAATAGAAGTGAAGTCCTAAGACATGCTACAACGTGCATAAACATTATGCTGACTGAAATAACTCAGACACAAAAAGACAAATATTGCATGATTCCACTTATATGAAATATCTAGTGCAGGCAAATTCATCAAGACAAAAGATTACTGGTTACCAGATGCTGGGGGAGGAGAGAATGGAGTTACTATAGAAGGACACTGAATGTCTATCTGAATGTTACTAATGTCACTGAAATGTACACTTAAAAATGGTTAAAATGGCAAGTTTTATGTTACATATATTTTACTAGAATAAAATTTTAAAAGGAGGGGCATTAAAAGCACACACACGCACACAAAAGCAATCTTGAGACTTGGGGCAATGGTTCTCAACATGTGGCCCCTGACTAGCAGCATCGGCATTCACCTGGGAGCTTGTTAGAAATGCACAACCCCAAACCTACTGAATCAGAAATTCTTAGTCCAGACCACAGAAATTTAGTTCTCCTAGTGTTCTTGATGCATGCTAATGTTTGAGAACATACAGAATCTGTTTTATCTACCAGCCAGTACCGGAAGGAATGACTTTCTAGGTCTAGGCGAAGGGATAAGTCAGCTTTTCTTTGGGCCCTCCCTGCTGAAGCTCTAAATCCTTGCTATTCAAAGTGAGGTCCATGGATCAGTGGCACTACTTTGCCCTAGAAGCTTGTTGGAAATGCAGGATCTTGTACCTCATTTTATTCCTAGTGAATCAGCTGCACCGTATTTATAAGATCTCCAGGTGATTCCTATGCACATTAAAGTTTGGCAGGTACTAAAGGAGATGCAGCACATCCAACTAACTAGTGAGGGGAGGAAATGAGTCCTGACCTCAGGACCCTCCCCTGAAACAAGTGAGCAGCCCCGTGCTCATCTCTAACTCCACTTAAGCAGGAGGTTGGAAAGGAGTAACTCTGGAGTAGGTGCTAAAGCTGCAGGCCCTGACCTTCCCACTTGCTGCCTCTGAGACACATGAAAAGGCCATTTGTCACTGCTGACTTTGACTTGGAGAACTGCTTAACTTTGAAAGAGCTTGAAGGTTTGACGTCTCTTTTAATTGTTAATGTTTGAAAACTGCCATGTTTTAATGAAAACATTGACCCAAAGTCCAATCTACTTGATCCCATTGGTAATGTATTAAATATAGACAAATGTGTTGTATTCAATAAATTATTTCTCTCCTATCTTTTTAAGTAATAGATGTTTTCCAAATATGGAAGTCAATGAGTTATGAGAGAAGAAAAAAGTCAATGGTCTTCTTCAAAGCCTATGAGTTTTCCATCTTATCTTCATAATAAGTAAAAATTAGTTTTATTTTTCCAACCAACCTGATAACATGGATCCCTCATTAACAGTCTCAGACAGATTAACACTCTCAGAAAATGAATAGATGGGGCTCGATTAACCCACTCTCTGAAAAAAGAAAAAGGAGAATATGGTCAAGCTTAAATGCCAAGTATGACAATTAATGAACAATGCAAGACTGTGAAGAAAAACAAGGAAGATATAATATTAGTTTATTTCAAGCTTAATCTACAATGGAAATTGTTATTTGGTACTGGGTTATTTGACCCATTTTTATAAAAAACACATATATAAACTGTCTTTTTTCACTATGAAGCAGAGGCCTCAAACTTATTTTGTTCACAGGGCCCTTAGTGTCACAATAATTTTTTCATGGCACCCCTAGGCCAAAAGAAATAGCTAAAAGTTCCATTTATTCAGTAGTAAGATCCAACTTAACATTAATTTATATCCTAACAACTTAGTATCCACTTTAAAACTAATGCACATATATTTTAAAAAATAATTTTATTATAAAATAAGTACCATAACTTATTAATAGGGTGGGCACACCTGTGGACACTACATAACTTCTCTAACCTTGGACTCTGATTGTACACCACTATCCTCATTTCCTGTTCCACACAGATTTTCACACTGCACTTCCCTTTTATCCTAGTAACCACCAGAAACACCAACCTCAGAAAGACGTGCCATCATCTGAAGGAAGGTAATGCAATCTAAAGTTGAAATTCTAAACACCCTTGATAGTTTGTACTGTATCTGGGGGACACTGATTATCATATGTTTTCCTCGAAAATTTAAAATATCCCACAGTGTCCCTGGGAGTTTGCAGTGGTGCCCTGGATACCTCAGAGAAGTTTGGGAAACTCAGTGACAAAGCATTTTTGTAGGTCAGTTTCCTCAGAAGCAGACCTCGAGATGAAGATTGATGTGTGTTCTGGTTACCTAGTGCCACTCTGACAGGAATATACTACAAATGGGATGGCCTTAACAAACAGGTGTTTATTCTCTTACTGTTTGGAGGTTTTAAGTCCAAGTTCAAAGTGCTAGTCTCTAGGGGCTGGGTGAAAGCCCCTCAGCCTTGGGCTTCAGCTCTGACTCCAGCTCCCGGCCCACTGGAGCTAGAGGCTTTCCTTCACTCATACAGCTGTTTGCTGCTGAGTCTGCCAAACCCAAGGTTGACAAGTAAAAAGGCACAGTCCTGATATTACCAAATCACACAGCAGGCCATTAATTCAAGTTCATTTGTAAGTCCCAAGGTTGGCAGAGCATGGCAGGCTGTTAAACAATGACACAGCTACATGCAGGGTTCAAGGTCCCATAAGCTAGAGACCATTTCCCAAGGCTTCTGCTTATATACAGGAAGCAGATCACATACCCAAAGGCAGCTACTCAGCTGCTTGTGGTAGATCCCACCATGGAGTTGATTGCCAGTCTCATCATGAGGAATAACTACTACCAGCTGCCCAGCCACTCAACCAGGCCCAGCCAAGTTGACACACCAAATGAACTACCACAATGTGCAAGTGAATTATTGAGAAACACACTGTCAGGATAGAGCCGTAAGGGAGAAGTAAGGGGAAAGAGGGAAAGCCAAGCAAAAGCGTGAGTTCAGGCAAAGCCCCAGTCTCACCTGAGCCTGCAGGGGAACCTCAGGAGTATAACTTACACATAACAGAAGCAAGGGAACCAAACTTCAGACTCCCAAACCAGGTCACTGAGTGCCGCAGGATGGGGTGAGGGAATAAATTCCCAGGCACTTCTGCTCTGTGTCCCTGCAGGCAAAGAGGACTCCAGGAGCCAGAAGGTGGTGCAAGCACCATTGGGCAGGAAGTGCCACAACAAAAGGGGGAAAGGATGATCTGGGCATCCTGAGCAAAGCACCAACATTATACTACAGCTGTATGTTTAACAATAAAACAGAGATTTCCTCGGAACGCTTTGAAATGGAAGTAATTAATGTTCACTTGTCACTTGAGAAGAAACTGAAGGTACATTTATTAAAAATCAGCACAGAGGTGACTAATGAAACTGGGCCTGTTGTCGGGGAGGAGAGACATGGATTTTGGCTTCAAACATTGAATGCATCCAATTCACAAAAGACCGTAAGATTTTCAAAGAAGTACTTAACTTATCACTTCACTGTCATCCACTCAAGTGTATTTTGAGAGACATAATATGTCCCGAGTGACAAGTGACCATTACTTCAATTTCAAAGGGTTCTGATGAATCTCCATTTTATTGTTAAATACAGAACTGTAGGATAATGGTGGTGCTTTGCCTAGCACTCCCAGATGTTCCCTTCCCCCTTTGTTTCTTTACTAAAGATGTATTTAGCCAGAACCCTTTTATGTTCTTTAAGAACAAATGTAATTTTGCTATGCTCTTGAAGGAAAGAAACAGTGCCTGTGTTCCGAAGATGTCACAGCACTTTGCACCACCTAGTTACTCAAATAGGTAATTAACTGACCAGACTCTCTGACCTAAGCCAGTGTCACAAAGTTAGCATGTACCAATCACAGTGCAGGGCCCTCACTAAATGGATTCCAACTAAGGGGAGAAGAGTGGTCAATACAGAACCCAACCACCTACAAGCTTGTGTTAGCTCAGAAGGTGGAAAGACAGGGTAGGCATATTCTGCACTCTTTGGTAACACCCAGTGTCTTTTCCTAGACCTGCTGGACCACTGGGAGCAGTTTATATAACACTCAGTTGTGTCTAGTTAAGGCTGGTATTGTTGTTGTTGTTATGTGCCATTGAGTCAGACCTGACTCTTAGCGACCCCCTCCTTGGGTTTCCAAGGCAGTATCACTACAGAAGTAGATTGCCCCATCTTCCTTCCAAGGAGTGGCTGGTGGGTTTGAACCACCAGCCTTCTGGTTAGCAGTCAAGTGCCTTAGGCACTATGTTACTGGAGCTCCCAAAGGCTGGTATTAATGTAGTCAAAATGTTGAATTAGCTTCTCAGTCTGCTCCTAATATTGCTATACAGACATTAAGCATGTGAAGTAGAGAGGCCATGAGGTATAGAGTATGGGAGGTGCAAAGTGCTTTTTACCTCACTTGGTGAGGACACTTGTATCCAAGGAAGTCAAGGAATAGAAGAACCCAGACTGAGGCTAGAACCTGCAGCTTTGTGAATCTCAGTTTGACAGTTAGCATGTTTGAAACAGAATTCTCAGATTCAACCTACAATAACATTTTTTAAATAAGTAGAACAGAAGTCACACATGGGGGAGGGGAGGTATCTGATATTTCAAACCCAAGAAAAAGTGATGTAGATAGTATAAGCTATTCCAAGACCAGAATCCACGTAATTTCCCCCACCCTCTCCCACCTCCCACAGCTCAGCTTTTGGTGGATCCAGCAAGGTAATGACAGTCCAAACATGTGCTCCCAGCCAAGTGAAGCACTGAATTGAGCTCTTGTCCTCTGCCAACCCTCACTTGGCGTATCTGTTATTGATGCGTAGCATCTGGTGGTAGGATTCAGCTTTGCCTCCTCTATTGGATGAAGAGATTCAAATATGCCTCCAAACCTGCATATCTCAGACTAAGTAAATGAGACCTACCCTCCTCAAAGGCAGAGTGAACATCAGTGGTAAATGCCATTGGACGTCTTACCTCCATCCTAATCTACTTACCATTCCTTGCATCTACTAAGTAAGAGTTATCTTACAGGAAGAAGGTTAGCAAATACGATTTTCCCATAGTGTTATAGTCCTAGTAAGGAGCTCTGGTGGCATAGTGGGTAAGGCACTTGACTACTAACCAGAAGGTCAGCAGTTCAAACCTACCAGCCACTCTGTGGAAGGAAGACCAGGAAATCTACTTCCATAAAAATTTACCACCTCGGAAATCCAATGGGGGTCACTATGAGCCAGAAATGACTCGATGGCAGTGAGTTTGGTTTTAGTTTATAATCCCAATGATGTTTGAACACTCCTTACAGGTCGGAGCTCCCAGCATAGGCTAGACTCTGCTGAAAGAGGTGGAACAAGATGTCCCAAGAGGACCAGTGACTGAGAATGACTTTTCCTGCCATCACCAAGTCTCCTGACAGGAGATGCTTGCCACAGCTGCTGTCAACACCACAGTCTTTTCAGTCAGATGCCTTCTTGTCAATGCCATCTTTGCCATGGGGCAAAGCTCAGTTTTTTTCTGAAAATAAATGCAGGCATCAACCAGCCTCAGTCCTACCAGCCTGGCAGAATTACCCAAAGCCACACTAGTAAGCTGAACTAACGTTCATCCTAACCTCAGACTGTACATGCCCTGGATTTGTGGGAAAAAAAGAAAAAAGAGCTGCAAACTTGAAATATACTTTGAATTTAAAACAATCACCTATGGAAACATTTGTTAGGATGCGGTTATTCCAAAGTTAAGGAGAGAAAACCTTTGGTTGTTATAAACAGGTAGTTGTTATAAACAGGAAGATGGCACATGATTAGTTTCTCTTTCAGGTGCTGGCTCAGCTAAAGATAGTATCTGTAATGTAAAGATACTAAATCCCAAAGATCTAAAGAAGTAATGCTCAATTTGCAATAGCTACTGAAAACCTAATGAGTTTTAATGCTGATTACTTTTCATTATTTTAGAGGAAAAGCCATGAGACATTTTAAGAGATGATTTAGGTTGCAAATAATGTGTACCCACACAAACCAAAGCCCCTGCCATCAAGTTGGTTTGGACAGAAAAGAACTGTCCTATAGGGTTTCCAAGGCTATATATCTTTACAGAAGCATACTGCCACCATCTTTCTCCCATGAAGTGGCTGGTGGGTTCAAGTAGCTGACCTTTTGGTTAGCAGTCAAGTCTTTAACTACTGTGCCACCAGGGCTCCTGAAAGGTATGTATACTTAGTATTTTTCTGTTTGCTATAGACAATCTTCATGAGCAAAGTTCATGACCTTGATGATGTTTTTTTCACGTTAAAATAAATATTTAAAGTTTTTTTTTTTTTCTTGTTTCTTTAAAAAAGAAAGAGGAAAAACAATTTTTCCAGAATGGATTCTTTTTTTTTTTTACTATTAAAAGAGAGTAAATAAATAAAGAGTTCCAGAGAAGTCTCAGAGTTGAAAGTTCTGTCCCAAGCATATAGCACTCTGTTTTGTTTTGCAATTTTGGGCATGAAGCCCAAAGCTATTCATATTCCTATGTGATTCTAGCCCTTGCTATCATAAATGTAAGTAGAATTCCTGGTGACTGAGTGCTCTGGCTCTGCCTCTCCAAACACTGACCTCTGAAGGAGCAGTTGCTCCTTCCTTGGCTCCCAGCCCTTAAAACTCCACAAGGACGTGGCACGTCAGATTGGAGTGTTGGTATTCAAGGGGAATTGAGTGTTCTGTAAGATGATACATACATCCGCTTGCCAAGGGTTGGGGGACTAGGAAACACGTAACTTAGTGCAACCAGAATATTTTAGGGAAGAATAGTGGGCAGATTGTAAAGACCTGTGCCTTCAATTTACTGACTGAGCAACTGTAGCCTGGAGAAGTGTGATGACTCCTCCAAGGTACACATCAGTAACAGAGCTGGGGGCCTGATTCCCAGCCACTGTTCCTGCCACCCCTGTGCCCTGTCACTGTGTTCCATACAAGAATGCCTGAAGAGAAACTGCAGCTTCAAATACATTTAATATGGGAATGAGTGTTAAGCAGAGTGGCATGGGGGTCCTTTGAGGCAGCTCTGGAAAACTTGTCCACAAAGATAGTATTTCCCTGGAGGGTATGCTCAATATAACAGCCACAGAGCAGTGAATTCATGAGAGGGCAAATATTTATCCCTTCTTATGACTGAACTTTTGCCAATGTGTCCACAGGACTATTAATACATGGCAGTATGACCAGCTCCCTAGCCTCTGTCCATGACTACTTGCCATATCACTTTCAGCATCAGATGCCTTTTTCTGCTATCAATATAAAAAGAGAAGAAAAATGACACTGGAGAAAAAAATCAAAATCTTTGAAAAGAGAAAGCATAGCCAGGTTTTAACTTCTTGAATCCTAGAGAAAATCAACATGTGGCATGAGAGTTCCACTTAAAAATCAGTCACAAGACTGTGGCATTGTATAATAAAGCTGCAACTACCAATATAACCAAGAACACCAGATGGTTTGGGAGTTAACTGAAACCATGGGCTGATGCAAATGCCAGAGGTTATACACTAGAGCCCCATGTGTAGCAAACTTCTCTGTCTCTTATTTAGAAGAAATAGCAACTCCTTAATAGGCATTATTTAAATTGAATGTTGTTGTATTGTTTTGAAACAAGCAGCAAGCAAACTGCCACTTTAAACTCAAATTTAAAATAAGAGGAATTCAGGCCCATTTCTAAATAAATATATTACCTCACATTTCTAATAGTTGAAAAGGTAAAATCCACATCAAAACAGACATGCAAAATTTAAGAAACAAGCGTACATGTGAACTGAACACAAAAATCCATCTGCAGTCAAAGGACAACATAAAAGGATGCTCTTGATGTTCAACATTCCTAAATTCTTCTCATACAAAGAGATTTACCATCATCTCTTCCTTGTTTGAGGATTTCCAAGGACAGCTCATGTTGCAAGCCTGTAACTCTATCCTATCCAAGATGCCTCATTAATCACTAAGAATTGGGAAAGGCCTTGAAAGGAGATCTCCTGACTTCAAAACCATTAGGATCTTTTTGAACCAGTGAATGCCAACCCTTGCCCAATTATTTTGCCTAACAATTTCTTCATTCAGGAAGACACAGTGAGGCATCACATTTTTTCATGCAGAAAATCTGTCTTCCCCAAAATAGAGACTAACAAATGGTCTGCTGGATGTCCCTTGAAAAGTTCATGTTCCCTTCTCTCAAAACAAATCGAAGCACTTCATTTCCTACTACCATTTCAGGCAAAATTATTCTGCTACTAATCATTTTTCTACTCTCTCTAAACTCAAAAAGGAAACAGTTGAGGATAACATAAGCTCTTTTGCAGTGTTCAGTATTCTTTCAAAAACCATTGACTGTACTGTCCAGAACCGAGTAGGGACCCAACTGCATAACCTTTGTAAAGATTCAAGGCTTCATGTATTACCTGAGCCAGTCTAATAATCTTCATCTTATCCATGTACAAAGGCATGACAGATGCCCTCCCAATCCTGGACTACGTTAAACTAAACCAATGTATTTGGCAGTCAGTGTCCAAAATTTAAATACAGTCAGCCCTCTCTATCAACAGTTCACATCCACGGATTCAACTTTAAATATGGGGGAGGAGCAATTAAGCTGTCAACACAATTCCTCAGAGGGTAAGAGGGAAGTAAAGTGCTATTTACATACCTTTACATTGTATTACATTGTATTGGGTATTATAAGTAATCTAGAGATGATTTAAAGTATACAGGAGGATGTGCATAGGTTATATGCAAATACTACACCATCTTATGGGAGCTTAGGCATTTGACTGCTAACCAGAAGGCTGGTGGTTCAAACTCACCAGCCACTCCTCAGAAGGAAGATTGGACAATTTACGGAGTAGAGATATGCCTCAGAAACCATCTTATATAACAGACTTGAGCACACTTGGGTTTTGGTATCTGCAAGGAGTCCTGGAACCAATCCCCTGCCAATACCAAAGGACCACTACATGTGATACCAAATAATGCCATCCAAAAAATCAAGTATTATTTAGCAGCTGACTCATCATGGAGGATGCATTCGGATTCTTTTCTACTTAAAATCAGCAGATACACTGGACCAACTCAGGGTTTTATTTTGGTCAAGGCATTCGATTATAGATAACTTCTTCTATTTTTCAGAATAAAATCATTTTTTGTCCTTCTAACTGGGGCAGAATTCAGAGAACTCAATTAACCCAAAGTAATAGGGGAGATTTAAAGTACCTTAATAGTCTTCCTTCCAGCCAATGCATGTGGGCAGATGGAGTAAGACTAGGCCTCTTTGCAGGGAGAATAAAAGACAGGGTTCTAAGTGCAAAATGATGGGCCTCTCCTTCACATCTGGCATGGCCACACCCAGGTGTCACCTTAACCAGCACAGTTGCCATCAAGTCAATTTTTTTCCACTTGCCACTTAGTTGATTCCAACTCTTGGAGACTATATGTTTCAGAGAAGACTTTTGTTTCATAGGGTTTTCAATGGCTGAATTTTGCAGGCCTTTTGTCCAAAGTGCCTCTGGGTAGATTTGAATCACTAACCTTTTGGTTAGTAGTGTGTATGCATCACCCAGGAACTACTTAACCAGTATATAAGGGATAGAAATTCAATGCTGGAAGTCCAGCATCAGTCAATGACTCGCTGAAAACCCCTGCTATGGGAGAAGGAACTGAGGGAACTTAGTAATTAACTTATTTTACAGTCTCAACACTGCAGCTGTGTTAAGAAAGATCAAGGAGCAAAGGAAGAACATTTGGTATGGTCCTGTGAAGAAATGTTTTATCAAGCTGTGGCTGGATGGTGTACAGTCATCATTTCTGCTCCCAAGGTCAAGGCTGGAGCAACCCATTTACTCAGTAATTGTATCTTCTGCAAAACCATACCATGAAAATGTTGTTCATGGTGTCATCAAATGTCTTTTCCATAAAGATCCACACAGTAACCTCTTCTTTGTGCTTATATACCAGGGAAAAAAAGGAAAACAAAGTAACTTGAGTGATTTCCCTCTGTCAGGAAATTCAGCTAAATTCAGCATCTAACCAGTATGACTTGACTTAGTTCATCTGCAATGCCTACTTATTCACCTCATCCTAACTGGCCATAGTTCTGTTTTATACTTTAATTATGTTGTGTTCAATCTTGTACATGTCTTCCAATAATATTCTATGGACCAAATATTTCAAATAAGCCATGTATGGGTAAATGACTGTCTTTCCTGGAACATTCTTACCTGCATATGAGTCTATTTTTCACCAGAGCTGTAAAGATCTCTTGAAATAGTTTATGCTGGGGGTGCTTGCTGAAATTTCTTTCATTCTTGTAGTTTATACTGAGATGAAACAAACAATAAAACATTTTGTAATAGTAATTACTTAGGGTTCCTCAAAGTTAACAAACCAGACAAAGATTATATTCAGACAAACATAGAAGAATTCTTGGGGGTAAACACATTGCTGAAGGCAAACATCAATTGTTAACAGAGGGACTAAAAATTCAATTATGAAGCTAATAATATAGATTATAACCAAGCACACGTATTTCATCTTACCACATTAACTAAATTATTTCGTATAAATATTTAACACCTAAAATTGGGTGGAGGGAGGAAGAGGGGTATATGGAGAGAAAGAATGATTAGGACACATTATCTAGACAGCTGTGCAAGAACAGAGAAGAATTCCCTACTTTCATTTTCCCACCCACCCTCTACTACACTCAGCTGCTGTAGCTATCAGCTCCAGTCGTTGGCACATATATTTCCTTATAGATCACCCAGCACCACCATTTTCTATGGAGTCAATTCTGACTCATAGAGACCTCATGCATCAGAGTAGAACTGTGCTCCACAGGGTTTTCAATGGCTGATTTTGGGAAGTAAATCACCAGGCCTTCTTCCGAGGTGCCTCTGGGTGGATTCAAACCTCCAACTTTTTGGTTAGCAGCCAAGCATCTTAATCATTTGTACATCCAGAGATTCCTTGTAGATAACAAGGATCTATTAAAGATAGTCTACGCCCCTTCAAACATGAGTTTTTGTTATTGTTATTTGTGTGTGTGTGTGTGTGTGTGTGTTTAAAAAGTTTTGAGCTATTCCAGCTTCAGTTTCTTGTTGCTGATATAGTCCACCAAAGAGGTTAAAAATACCCAAAACATTCCAGTGTAAAACTGGGAGAGGATAAGAACCAATACACAAAATGGACAGAATGCTATAGAATATATGATACATTATTTTTGTGGATAGAAAAGCCATTCATTTTAAAATATAGGCCAAATAAGCTGGAACAACATGAACACACCAACTCAAAGGCAAGTGCCATCACCTTACATTGCCATTTATATAGTTCTTCCTTCACAGCCTATCAGATGCTATTGGATGGTATGTCTCCACCCTTGCCAGGTGAAGTCTGTGGCAGCTTCCCTCATACCCAGACACTGGAAGACTGAATGTGTAACAATAATTATTTAGTGTTTATCACTAAAAATCTTTAACATATGAGCTTATGAATGTCCATGAGAATTTTTTTGGACTATTAAATCTACTGTCATCAAAGGAGGGAGAAACAAAATCTAGGTCAAGTAGAATGACAAATGGTCATTCTATAATATTCATACTGATACTTCATGCCATTCATTATTTACTTGGCATTTAGTCCCAAATGACTTAAGTATATTGTAAACTAAGAGAACCAGCTCCTGGAAGGAGAGAGGCCCTTGGGAATGTGCAGCTTCTAGAAGATCCACATGGTGACAGGAGAGATAAACATGGGCTGACATTTTAAATGTTAAAGGTGAGATGAGATCCCTCCAACTGAAAACTTGGTTGCTTTGACACCCACATTCTTTAGCTACCGTTTATCTCTTCATTGCAACAGCGTCTTTTATGGCTTCTCATTATTGGCAAGACATGGACAGACCAAAAGCTAAAGACAAAGCTGGGAATCAGCCCAGCCAGGTCAATAATCAGGAAACACTTCCTCATTGAGCTAATGCCAAATGTGCATCAGCACTGTGTCCCAAAACCCTCAAGTCAGTGTCACCTGTAGCCATTAAGCCTGTTTACTTACCCAGGATTCTGGAATAGTTTAAGCATTAAAATTATTAAGTGAAGAATCCCCCTGGTAAATTTTGAAATGGGTTTAAAATTCTGCTACTGTGGGAAGCCTAAATAAAGCTTAGAGCTAACCAGAATAGATTGATGAAGGCAAGGGAGAAACTAGATTTCTTACCTAAAATTTTCAAGTTCAACAGCTTCTGTGGACTCATGCCACTGACCTCGACTTGTGTGTCCACCCACCTTGATGGCGAGCTCAGACTTCGTCATGCTATTTGGGGCACTATTGAAGTTAATTGCTGGGAGCTATAGAAATAGAAGGATAGAGTACATGAGGATCGCAGTTCAGCACAGGTCAGAGAAAGTGAAAATAAATGGGAGTTGGGGCAGGATGAAGGGAACATTTTTTTTTCCCAAGCCAACCAGCCTTCTGGTTAGCAGTCAAATGCCTTAGGCACTACACCACCAGAGTGCCCAATTTGCTTGGTAGCTATGTCAAATGTAGAGTTTTTCTAAAATGTAAACAATGGTGATTTAAACATTTACTCTCTCTGCCTTACTCTGCTTTATTTAACTTCATAGTTTATAACACTACCTGTCATATCTTAAACTCTCACTGCCGTTGAGTCGGATCTGACTCATAGTGACCCCTCTTTGGGTTTCCAAGGCAGTATCACTACAGAAGTAGATTGTCCGACCTTATTACCGAGGAGTGGGTGGTGGGTTTGAACCACTAGCCTTCTGGTTAGCAGTCAAATGCCTTAGGCACTACACCACCAGAGCTCCTAAATTTTTATGGCAGTAGGTTGCCATATCTTCCTTCCAAGGGGTGGCTGGTGGGTTTGAACCACCAACCTCCTGGTTAGCAGTCAAATGCCTTAGGCACTGTGCCACCACTTTATATCTAGTCTACCTTGATGATAAGTTCCTGTGGGCAGGAACTTCCCTGTTCTTGTTCAATGCATTAAAAGAGTGCTGAGGATACAAGTCTGGGGTAAAGATTAGAGTGTTTAAAGCTTGTCAGGTGCCTCAAATGTACAAGCAGACTAGAGAGTTTCAGAATCCAGCTAGAAGTTTCTGGTGAGGGGTCAAGATTAAGAATCAATCACCATTCATTCATTCTTTCCCATTCACCAAGTCTGTACATTGCATCTTGCGGGTGTCAGGGAAATAAAGATATAAAAGTCTTCACATAATGATTACTCAATTTTATTTACAAATGCCATTAAAACATACTATCAGATTCACCATAAAAAAAACTAAAATCTCATTTAAATTAACTACAACAACTTGAATATGCCCCATTTATAATACAAACTATTATTTAAATAATAAAAAGGCAAGTTATCAGTATTCAAATAGTTTGACTCATCGATATTTACTAATAATTTTCATAACCATGAGATTTGTTTCTAATATCACAGTAAAGCTGAGCATAATGAAGGCAAATACTGTGTTGTTTCCAAAGTACAAATGGGGGATGTTCTTAATTAGCTAAATTAATACAGATGAGATAAGCAGAGTATAATATAACAAGATAAAGGATTCATTTTTTTCATGAAATTATTCCACATATATATTATAGTTATCAAATAAAGCTACAATACATTTCACTTGTTACCTTATTCCATTAAAGTATTTGATAGAAATCAGCATGGGGACATCATTTTCTTATCAAAAGACAACATGCCTGAATTTCCCTAAGGAATTTGGTTTATAGAAAAAAAAATGCATTTTAAGAAGGGCATAGTTTAATAGCTAGCTCCCCCCCCAAAAAAAAAAAAAAAATCCTTCTCCACTGAATGCTAGTCATGGTTGAATTCTCCAACAACAAAAACAAAATGTTTATAAAAATAAATTAATGAATCTTCCATCTTGTAAAACTACCTTGTTTTCTCAGTGTTCAATGGGTCAATCTACAGCTGCCACAAGACCATAGGCCTATGGGCACTTGAGTCAGCAATGCTTAGTGGTTAAGCAAACAAACTCTAGGCCAGAGCTTGGACAATTTACTTAATCTCTGTGTACAAGTTTCCACATCTGTACAATGGAAATAAAAATAACAGTAAATGACTCATAGAGTTATTCTGAAGATTAAACAAATTAGCATTTATAAAGCTCTTGTTACATGCTAACTATATTCTGTGCTTTATCAATACTCTTTAATCATAACAATTCCCATTATACAGATGAATTTAAATAAACACAATTTTCAATACAAAATGGAAGATTTCTAGATGTGAATGGATAACGCAAATAATACTAGTCATGAAGTCACAATAATGAGCAAATTTTCCTATGTTACACAGGAAATGCTATGACACACAGAAAACAGGAAGTGATTATGTATTCATGCCCAAAGAGTTTCCAGTGCTTTGCCATTGCTACAATTCCCAGAACACTGATTGCAGCTACTAGAAATCAATTGATGGAGACTCAGTGGATAAAATGGAGTTGGCATCTATAGGTGCAAAGACTTGGAACTTAATAGTAAGAACCTTGATGCAACAAGCTCTCTTCAGACAAAAGCATTGTGAGTTCAGAAACCAATTTAGAACCCAGAGCCTTTTCTCTTGGCTCCCCAATTCTTTAGACCTCTGTGAATCCTTCACCATCTACCTTACATAAGTAGGCCAGTAAAACATACATGGTTCTCATTCCAGAGTGGACATGACTCACCACCTAGTACAGTCAAGATCATGACACTCAGGGTAGAAGAGCCAGATGAGCACCTCCCTACAGACTTCTGTTATACTAAGTAAGCCATTTGTTCTGTTAAGGTACACTATGCCTGGACACCATGTTGGACAAAATATAAAAGTCCCGACATCATAAATACAACATAACACAAATTCACATTTAAAAAACCAAACTCACTGCCACTGAGTCAATTCCAACACACAGCAACCTCTTCTTGGGTTTCTGAGGCGGTATCTCTATGGCAATAGATTCCCAGTCTTCCTTCCGAGTAGTGGCTGGTGGGTTTGAACTGCCAGCCTTCTGGTTAGCAGTCAAATGCCTTAGGCACTGTGCCACCAGAGCTCCTCAAATTCACATAGATAACTTTAAAGTGTGTCCTTTCCCACAAGTGATAGACTTATAGATCCAGACTTCAAAACAAGGATCCAATCATCATCCTCATCATCATTGATGGTGGTGCTGTTGACATCATCATAGATAATACTTACATAGTGTTTACCACACCAGGCACTGTTCTAAGTGCTATCTAGATTTATATACATTTAATCCTCATAACAATTCTATGAGGTACACACATTTTATGGGTGAGAGAACTGAAGAGACTTGCCTAAGAGACAAAGCTAGCAAGTGGCAGAGCTGTGATTCAAACCCAGACAACCTCCCTCCATCTCCAACATTTTCAGTTCCCCAACATGTACTTATGTATATCTAATGATGAGAAAATCATTGAGGTAGCCCATTTGCTTTTCACAGAGTTCTGCTCTTTCCAAAGTTTTTCCTCATACTGAGATGAAAATCTGTCCCCCATGCTCTGTTTTCTTGTCCACCATCAACTCCTTTCACAATATTTAAAAGGACTAACTTGCTTTTTAAAATTGTAAGTTGAATGAAAAACTACATCCAAGTACTGGCTGCATTTAACCGGTCACCGTTCCTGGAACACATTGCACAGTCTGACCTCTCCATGCCTGGGCATGTACAGCCTGCAGCTCCTGATCACATTTCAGGGCTCAGATCAAACAGTCTCCTGGGTAAACAGCTGCCCAAAGCCTTTTTGGTTAGAGCTGTTCATGCCCTCCCTGGTGATACAACTGTGTTTCCTCTTACAGTATGTGTCACACTCTATTACAATGTCTAGTTTACTATCAGCTTTTCCCCCAATTTGGCCACCTGGAGGGCATTATCAAGAGATCTGGTGGAGGAGAGGTAAAGGCATTCTGCTGCTAATCAACAGGTTGGCTGCTCTGTGAAAGAAAGAAAGATGCAGTCTGCTTCCATAAAGATTTACAGCCTTGGAAATTCTATGGGGGCAGTTCTACTCTGTCCTATAGGGTTGTGATGAGTTGGAATCAACTCGATAATGGCAGTGGGTTTGGTTTTAGTTTGAGGACAGCATCACATGTATCTATCTTTGTTTTCTTAACAACCAGGGCCTGGTACATAATCGGTGTTCAAATGTGAAGCTGTTGATTGAATGCTCACATCGGCCCCAGAATCTTTGCAAAATTAATTTATCTTGTAAACCACCTTCACATTACTACATCCATTCACCACACTTATTGTGGACACATCAGGAGCCAGATGTTGTGTGAAACACTGGTAATCTAGTAAGCAGACTGGCTGCAACCTCTGCCTTCAAGGAGTATACATTCCCATTCCAACAGAGAATGTGCTGTGGAAGAAAGTAAAGTGGAGCTAGGGTGGGGTATGGACCAGCTATGCCCAGAGTATTCCATGGTATTCTAGGCAGATTTTCACACAGGCTAGAAGGTAGGAGGGTCACAGAATAAAGAAGACCCTCAATGAGATGGACTGACTCAGTTGCTGCCACAGTGGGCAAAAATATTGCAGTGACTGTGAGGATGACACAGGCCCAGGCAGTATTCCTACTGCTGCACATAAGAGTCATTATGAGGCAGAACCAATTCACAGCCCCTAACAACAACTGCAGACAGAGAAATAGGTATATTCTAGGAATCAGAAGGTACTTTTACAACTCAAACAGCGTGAATGAAATGAGACTGGAGACTGAAACAGAGGCTGTATCATGCAGGACCTTCAGAAAGGTTTGGTCACATCACTTCTGCTCAGAAATTTCAACATTCTTTGTTGCTTATGTGATCAAGTATAAAATTCTGAGATGGGCTTACATACACTGCACTGTCTCTCCTAGCTTCATTTATTACTACTTCCAATGAAATCTCTACTCATCATTTTCCTAAAATGGTTGTCATCTTCCTTTCTTCAAATATATGATTAATGAACTCCCTTCACCTAGAATGCCTTTCCCATCACCTCTACTGACAGAAAACCTATCTCCTTCTCTGACACTTGAGAGAAAAGTGGCCTCCTCTTCTTCCTTAAAATTCATTCACCCCACTGCTCATATCACTCACTAGGATCAATGCTGTGCTATGTTCTATATTACCTGTGCCCACATCCTGTCTTTCCAAACACAGAACTGTGCCTTCTATTTTTCCTCTAAATGGCATCTATCAAAACCTCTTTTATTTCAAGACAATTAACAGACACGCAACAAATGATTTTTTTCTTCTGTCTTTTTTAACTGCAAACCTATCTCTCAACTTCCCATGTTCTGCGTATGG